TATATTAATCATGTTTAGTGGTATACCACCAATGAATAAGCTAGTTAAAACTTGACCCAAATATTTTAATGTACCCTGTGAAGCAATTTGGAAAAATAATAGTAAATACAGCAAAAAAGTATAATGAAATATTTGAGAAAGGATGGAATTTAATAAAAAACTAAAGCAATTTTAAGTTAATGTTTTTATGGAGGTTGAATTATCTCATTGATTTTAAGAACTGTTTTTTTTTTCCTGCATCTTCATCTTCATAAACTATGAGTATAGCTTGATGAGTTTATCCATATTAAGTAAATAGTGTTTATTAATCAACACATGCTATTAAATGGAATCACTGAGTGGTGTTCTTCCATTTTCCCTGTGTGCAGATTTTACATATACAAAGGGAATGTTTTGTTTCTAAAAAGTCTCATTAAGCAATCTAAAGAAATGTTTCTTAACTCTAGCACTCAGTGTTTAGGAATTAAGCTTATTGTTTTGAGCCTTATGCTTTCTAATCCAGCAGACAAACACCTCCTAATATGTTTCATACTTACTGAGATTTCATTTAGAATGACTATGAAGAGATTGATAGTGAAAAGTGCTACTTTTAATGTTGAATTTAACTTAGTTTTAAAAATAATTGTAGACTACTTTTGGAAACAATATTTTCATACTTTTCTATAATTTTCTTTTAACATCTTAAAACAAAACTTTAAACATTATCTGCATTTGGATAATGGCTTGACCTGCAGTGGTGGCAAACCTATGGCAAGTATGCTGCAGCAGGCCCTTGGCAGCAAGAGCTCTAAAGGATTTGCTACCACTGGCTTAGAAAGTTCTTTGCATGTTCTTGAAATGGAATGAAATAAACGAGATCAAAGGATCTCAGGAAAACAAGATATGTTTGGCCATTACTGCATGGAAGAAATGGCTGCTTGAAAACTTTAGTTGATTCAACACATACAATTCAATAATTTAAAATATATGCTTTGAGATTTTCATGTCAATGAGAATTTCAGTTGTTATTGAGTCTAAGATTATGCTTCTACATTTTTAACTTGTTACTTCCATAATGAAGTAAAGCACTGCCTTGGATAAATTATTTTAATATGAACATGTAATAAATAACTTAAAATACATCCAGTTAGTTATCATTATAAATATTTTAGAAATTAATGTTCTCACTGGGAAGGGTAGACCAAAGTACATGACAAAAGGGTACAGAAACATTTTGTTTGATTACCTTAAAATCACAACAGAGTTAAAATAGAAAATAACACTTAGACATATGTTTCTAGAATTAAAATATAATGTGACTTATAAAACATGGTTAATTGAATTCCATGCTGCTATTTTCCTGTGCCTGTCAACTAGAAGCATATTAATAGACTGCCCTGTGATGACACTTATTTCAAATGTAGTAATTTGCTTATTTAACATATGTCTGCTCTTTTGATTAGTGACTCTTGGTACACAGAAGAGCTTTATTTTATCAGAAAAATAAAAATTATATTTGAATCTATTTTTTACAAAACTGTCTACTAAAAGTATTTGCTTTATATATTTTATGTTACCAAGGCCGGAGATTTAGCTCAGTTGTTCGGTGGGCTGCCTTGCAAGCACAAGGACCCGAGTTCAATCCCTGGTACCAAAAAAAAAAAAAAATTATTTTAAATATATTTTATGTTACTAATTAGAATACCTAAATAAATCTGCCACTTGCTAAAAAGATAAGGAGCAAACATATAAACACAACACATGACTATGAAAAGTTAATGAGTAAGTATTAGAGAATAAAACACATGTTGTAATAACACAAAAATAAGTTGTGGATATTAGACTATTCCGTCAAACAAAATTAGTAAACTGAAAAGTATGTTAGATGGTTATCACTCGTATAACAAGAAATCATAATGAAGAAAATACAAGGAGGAGAGAAGGAGAGGGGAAAAAGCAAAATAAAACAAAACAAAAAGACAGGGAAAGAGAAGGAGAAAGAAAAGAAGAGAAATGTCTTCAGGGCCAGTTTGGGAAAGACTTGATATTAATAGTGGTAGACTTCACTGAGGTAAGATTTGAGCAAATACAATGAGATTGGATAAGGTGGACAAAGGTGATTAACTGTATAATTTTATAGCAGAATAATTAGAGAAGAAATTATCTTGAAATTAAATATGTCACAAATATAGATCTAAATATATGATTTTTCAGAATATCTAAGCTTATAATAAGAACTATCAGTTGTCTTTATTTTCACACACATACCAAAAAAAAAAAAGACCAAGTGTGAATCCATGTGTTATTTTAGTTTGAACTCTGTTGTTTGTACTGATGTGCTACAAACACAGTGATCATGTCCAGTGAAAAGATGCATTTTCTTTTTTAATGTTAGTAATTTATGAATATTATTATCATAATCAGTAGGAAAAGAACTAAGTAAAATATGGCATGATGAACTTATCAACAAAAATTGAAGGAGTTTCTAAATCTAATAATAGATACCAATAATAAGTACAAGTTATTTGCATTTTGATAGGCTGTGGTTTTTTGGTATTTTACATTTCTCCAAGCATTACTGTTTAAGTCTACATCCTTCTATCTCTCTTCTAAGTGTGCTAAGCATTCAGCAACACTGTCTTGAAGTTGACAATTTAAGGCTTATCAATTCACTTAGAATATATGTTTCTTTTTGGGAACTAACTGCTGAACACTGTACTGGTCCCATAGGATAAAAACTTCAAGATAATAAACTTCAATAAATTCATAGTTTAGTGTGCAGGATGGGGACAAAAATAGAAAATAAACAAATACAATCTATATAATAATTATGATAAGTACAGTATCCAGCAGTTGGAAAACACCATTAACAGGATCTCTGTTAAACACTTTTTATTTATATTTCTAATTATCTTCAGTCCTGTTAGATAGGTACTTAGACTAAGCACATTTTAAGAGAAATGGCTTGAGATACAGAGTGGTTAAATAGATTCCTTATGTCACGTGGTGAACTTTGGATTTGTGCCTAGGCCTTCAGACTATACAGACTTCTGCATCCATTTTTTTTTTGTTTTCTTGCTTGGAAGCAAAAATGGTTCAGCTTGCAGATGTGTTAGGAAGGGTTCAGAGCAAGTATCTGCTAGCTGGAGAAGACAGGAAGGGCATTAACAAGAAGAAATACCTGGCAACTAGATGGTGAGAATCACAACCTCCCTGAAATAAGGTATCAGGAACTAAGAGCTGTGTTCCTGCATCGCACACAGTGAGTACTGAGAGAAGCCACTAGAGGCAGAAATGGCTGTCCATTTACCAGGGACTCATTCCTTCCAGAAGATTTAATGCTTTACATCAGCATTGATTTATGGACATTGGCTTATATTTTCAAGCCATGGCTTTCAGAGCCATAGAGGAATAACTAGAAGGAAAAAAAAGGGGGATCTAAGAAAACTTTTAGAAGAGTATGTAATGATTTATGCATAAAATTTGAACATAGCTAGAGTATATGTAGAGAGAAATTAGGAGGATTATTTATGAGATAAAATTGCTAGTATCTGACAGTTTCGTTAGGTATCAGAAGTGATAGCGATGGGAAATAAGGTATAGAAAATGCATCCCAAATTTCTCACTTAGCTACAAGATAGATATTATTTTCATTAATTGATAGAGGAAAGAGAAAAGAACTAAGCTCAGCGGTGGAAGCGGAAGAGTATGTGGCATTCCATTTTGTAGACTTTGGATATCTAAATGGGACTTGTACAAACAACTGGAAATATATCCTATGGCTCCATGAATAATTTAGTTTTGGATCAGAAAGCCCCCTGTGCAATGAAAGGCTATGACAAAATCCATGGGAGGGATGTGAATAGGGGATACATGATTTTATCCAGGAACAAGTCCAAAGGCCCAAATTGTCTAGTTGGGGTTACTAGTGCTTAAGAAGCAGGGCTTTGAAAGAGTAACAGTGAAAGAACCTTGAAGGAAGTCATCACAAAGGCGACAAGGCAGGAGACAAGGCGAAGCCGGGCAGGAATAGAAATATAGAAGACATAAAGTGATACTTTGATGTACTCTGTAAAATCCACCCTTAAAAATACCTTAACTATCTGGAGTAAGTGAGATAAGCACAGTTATACTACGATTGCTAAAAATATGTGCACTGCTTTTACTCAAGTATTCCATGTTGTGATGTTCTCCGTTTGGATGGATGGATAAGAAAAGATAATGACTTTTTTGTTGTTTACTCTAAATATCTTTCCCTCATCTCTCTCTCCCTTTCTCCTCCCCACTTCCTCCCTGACTTCTCCCTTCCTTCTTTCCTTCCACTTCTTTTCCTCCTTTCTCTCTCATTTCCTCCCTTTCCTCCTTCTTACCTTCTCCCTCCCTGCCTGCCTTCCTGTTTTCTTTGCCCTCATATAAAATACTACATGACTAAATATTTGTTTCCCTTTCCATCACCTGCTCAAACTCTTAAACCCATTTTGGTGGCACCTTCCCTCATCGAACCTTGTTGTGCGTATTGTGCGAAATGATTGCACAGGGGAATTCCCTCTTCTCTCAGCCTGACAAATACCTTATTCACTGACCAAATTTGATCCTTTCTAATGAAGTTGCTTGATTTTTGAAAAGCACTACATTTACTTGCTGAAACAAGAAAATAGAGATAAATATATTATATATATGTAATACACACACACACACACGTGTGTGTGTGTGTGTGTGTATGACTTTGAAACTTTTTATACAGTAATTTTGATCTAAAT